TTTATATTTGTATTATATATATATATATATATATATATATATATATGCTAAAAAAAAACTATAATTAAATACATTAATCAGCGTTCTGTATCATTGTCTTTGAGTTTGAAAACAAGCAAGTGACAATAGCAAGTGTCTAACACTATAGTTGATCAGTCACTTGACTGCTGATAGCTGATCATGTGACTTTCTAACGAGTGACATCACTCTTACCTGGACTGTATTGGACTATATTGAACTGTTGAGCATTGATCACCTTCATTACAAACACAAAAAAGCTGCTGAACTAATCTTAACTAGTTGAACAGAAGCGAGTAAATGTGCTCACGAGTCTGTCGTGTGGATGCATGCCGCAGTAGCTGCTGCTCTGAGCGCTGTGTGTGGAGTTTCCCAGCATGCTGTTGTATCCGGGCTGGTTCATACTGCCGGATGAGCTCCATGGGTCTGTACTATGATGACCGTCTGAAATCACACATGAAACACACACACAAAGCATATGAAAAAAGCAAAAAAAAAGCTTGAATTCTTGATTCTCATTGGCTGATGCACAGAATGTTGGTTGATGTTCTGTTCCAGTGTTTTAGGCTGTTGCTATGCAGTTGCTAGGGTGTTTTGAGTGTTTTAGGCTGTTGCTATGCAGTTTCTAGGGTGTTTTGAGTGTTTTAGACAGTTGCTAAGGTGTTTTGAGTGTTTTAGGCTGTTGCTATGTATTTTCTAGGATGATCTGATAATTTTAGGTTGTTGCTATGCAGTTTCTAGGGTGTTTTGAGTGTTTTAGACAGTTGCTAAGGTGTTTTGAGTGTTTTAGGCTGTTGCTATGTATTTTCTAGGATGATCTGATAATTTTAGGTTGTTGCTATGCAGTTTCTAGGGTGTTTTGAGTGTTTTAGACAGTTGCTAAGGTGTTTTGAGTGTTTTAGGCTGTTGCTATGTATTTTCTAGGATGATCTGATAATTTTAGGTTGTTGCTATGCAGTTTCTAGGGTGTTTTGAGTGTTTTAGACAGTTGCTAAGGTGTTTTGAGTGTTTTAGGCTGTTGCTATGTATTTTCTAGGATGATCTGATAATTTTAGGTTGTTGCTATGCAGTTTCTAGGGTGTTTTGAGTGTTTTAGACAGTTGCTAAGGTGTTTTGAGTGTTTTAGACAGTTGCTAAGGTGTGTTGAGTCTTTTAGGTTGTTGCTATGCAGTATCTAGGGTGTTTTGAGTGTTTTAGACAGTTGCTAAGGTGTTTTAGGCTGTTGCTAAGGTGTTGTGAGTGTTTTAGGTTGTTGCTAAGGTGTTCTGAGTGTTTTAGGTTGTTGCTATGCAGTATCTAGGGTGTTTTGAGTGTTTTAGACTGTTGCTAAGGTGTTTTGAGTGTTTTAGGTTGTTGCTATGCAGTATCTAGGGTGTTTTGAGTGTTTGAGCTCCATGGGTCTGTACTGTGATGACCGTCTGAAATCACACATGAAACACACACACAAAGCATATGAAAAAAGCAAAAAAAAAGCTTGAATTCTTGATTCTCATTGGCTGATGCACAGAATGTTGGTTGATGTTCTGTTCCAGTGTTTTAGGCTGTTGCTATGCAGTTGCTAGGGTGTTTTGAGTGTTTTAGGCTGTTGCTATGCAGTTGCTAGGGTGTTTTGAGTGTTTTAGGTTGTTGCTATGCAGTTTCTAGGGTGTTTTGAGTGTTTTAGACAGTTGCTAAGGTGTGTTGAGTCTTTTAGGTTGTTGCTATGCAGTATCTAGGGTGTTTTGAGTGTTTTAGACAGTTGCTAAGGTGTGTTGAGTCTTTTAGGTTGTTGCTATGCAGTATCTAGGGTGTTTTGAGTGTTTTAGACAGTTGCTAAGGTGTTTTGAGTGTTTTAGGCTGTTGCTATGTATTTTCTAGGATGATCTGATAATTTTAGGTTGTTGCTATGCAGTTTCTAGGGTGTTTTGAGTGTTTTAGACAGTTGCTAAGGTGTTTTGAGTGTTTTAGGCTGTTGCTATGTATTTTCTAGGATGATCTGATAATTTTAGGTTGTTGCTATGCAGTTTCTAGGGTGTTTTGAGTGTTTTAGACAGTTGCTAAGGTGTTTTGAGTGTTTTAGGCTGTTGCTATGTATTTTCTAGGATGATCTGATAATTTTAGGTTGTTGCTATGCAGTTTCTAGGGTGTTTTGAGTGTTTTAGACAGTTGCTAAGGTGTTTTGAGTGTTTTAGGCTGTTGCTATGTATTTTCTAGGATGATCTGATAATTTTAGGTTGTTGCTATGCAGTTTCTAGGGTGTTTTGAGTGTTTTAGACAGTTGCTAAGGTGTTTTGAGTGTTTTAGACAGTTGCTAAGGTGTGTTGAGTCTTTTAGGTTGTTGCTATGCAGTATCTAGGGTGTTTTGAGTGTTTTAGACAGTTGCTAAGGTGTTTTGAGTGTTTTAGGCTGTTGCTATGTATTTTCTAGGATGATCTGATAATTTTAGGTTGTTGCTATGCAGTTTCTAGGGTGTTTTGAGTGTTTTAGACAGTTGCTAAGGTGTTTTGAGTGTTTTAGGCTGTTGCTATGTAGTTTCTAGGATGATCTGATAATTTTAGGTTGTTGCTATTCAGTTTCTAGGGTGGGAGAGAGAGGGGGGATGGGATCGGGAAAGGTCCGCGAGCCGGGACTCGAACATGGGATGCCCGAAACGCAATGGCGCTACATGTCGACGTGCTGCCCACGAGGCTATCGGTGACGACACTATGGTGTTTTGAGTGTTTTAGGTTGTTGCCAAGGTGTTTTCAGTGTTTTAGGCTGTTGCTATGTAGTTTCTAGGATGATCTGCGAATTTTAGGTTGTTGCTATGCAGATGCTAGGGTGTTTTGGGTGTTTTGGACAGTTGCTATGGTGTTCTGAGTGTTTTAGACAGTTGCTAAGGTGTTTTGAGTGTTTTAGGCTGTTGCTATGCAGTTTCTAGGGTGTTTTGAGTGTTTTAGACAGTTGCTAAGGTGTTTTGAGTGTTTTAGGCTGTTGCTATGCAGTTTCTAGGGTGTTTTGAGTGTTTTAGACAGTTGCTAAGGTGTTTTGAGTGTTTTAGGTTGTTGCTATGCAGTATCTAGGGGGTTTGAGTGTTTTAGACAGTTGCTAAGGTGTTTTGAACGTTTTAGGCTGTTGCTATGCAGTTTCTAGGATGATCTGAGAATTTTAGGTTGTTGCTATGCAGTTTCTAGGGTGTTTTGAGTATTTTGGACAGTTGCTAGGGTGTTCTGAGTGTTTTAGGCTGTTGTTATGCAGTTTCTATGGTTTTTTGAGTGTTATGGACAGTTGCTAGGGTGTTCTGGGTGTTTTAGGCTGTTGCTATGCAGTTGCTAGGGTGTTTTGGGTGATTTAGACAGTTGCTAGGGTGTTCTGATTGTTTTAGGCTGTTGCTAGGTTGTTTAAAGTGTTTTTGTCAGGTGTGTGTGGTTTACCTGGCATAAAGAAGGAACCAGGAAAGCTGCTGCCCGGTGCTTTAGAGGATGGGTAACCTGGTGAGTCCCGGTTATAATCGGCAGTGCTGGCGGACGGGGCGTATACCTGAAACACATACACAACACGCCATGATCAGGACGACTAATGACACAAAACATGCTTTCAACATGCATTTCACTGCATATTTTTATGCCGTGCATGAAGATGCATCAGACACGAGACGGAAACAGGGTGAAACTCTTTCCCAGGAAAAAATGTTCATGTTCCCAAAGTGTTGCGACAGAATAATTTAGTGCAAATGTGAGACGAGCAGCTGCGGTGGATCAGTGACATCAGCACACAAACAGCAGAGCATTCCCGTCTGGAAAAATGTGCTGTAATGACTTGCAGGAACGCTGGGAACATGCCGGATGGGAATACAGAGCTGGGATAAACACAGCGGATGTGTGAGGACAGAACGACCCTCATAGATACACCTCAAAACACAAGAATCACAGTCTAGAATCAACAAATCAATGTCTCAAATGTTTCTCCTGAACTCCTGGAAATGCAGAGCAAATGTAAACTTTGTTGTATCTGATGAGAAACAATTTTTCTAAGGAATTGTAGCTCAAATGAAGCTCAGCTGAGAACTTATCACATCTCCAGAGCTCAAGGGTGGATTTTGAGGAGTTTTATGGAGAACAAGAGACTTCAGCGCACACACACACACACACACACACACACACACACGTCTGTGAAAGGGATCAGGCTGTGACTTTAGGGGGTTTAATAACATGGAGATTTTGTTCTGGCTGGTTCGTTTCTGCACCTGTCCACAGTTAACACACACATCTCTAGGTATTTAAAGTGGTTTTTAGATTGATGCTATGCAGTTGCTAGGGTGTTCTGAATGTTCATAGGAAGTTGCTAGGGTAATGCAAGTGGTCAAGGCTGTTCCTAGAGTGCTCTAAATGTTTAGACTGTTGCTATGCAGTTGCTATAGTGTTTTAAACTGTTACTATGCAGTTGCTAGGGTGTTCTGAGTGTTTAGTCTGTCGCTATGCAGTTGCTAGGGTGTTCTGAGTGTTTAGTCTGTCGCTATGCAGTTTCTAGGGTGTTGTGAGTGACTTAGTCCCATAGTTTTGCACACCTCTAGTCTTGTGTGTGGAGATTTATTGATTTATTGATTGATTGATTTATTGATTGATTGATGTCACCACATTTTCCCTGAATGTTCTCCATGCTGACAGTTCCTCTGTCGTCGTGCAGAACAGCGTTAATCTCAGCGCTAACAGCCCTAGTGAGTCGCCCACATCAGCGGTATTTTAAGGCATCATGGGTGAAGTTAGGAGGCATAATTACTCCAGTCACACATGTCCTTCACAGAGGAGATGACTGTTTAAATGTTAATGTGAGTTCGTGCAGTCGTGCGTCCGTCAGTCACTGCGTACAGTGAACAAAACAACC